CCCTTGTCTGCTGGAGCTGTGCCTCCCTGTCGTAAGGGCAGAAACCTCAACACTTTTAAGCCACTTCAAGTGAGATCAAGAGGAAAAGGATGATTTAAAACACAGATGAATAAACTTTAGTGGTCACTGCACCCAGAGGAGACGAGAACTGAGCTGTGATCTTTGGTCCCGTTGGCAGGCTCGACGCAAGCAGAGCCCTCTTCAAAGGCCCAAACCCATTTCATCAGCCATGAGACCACAGTGGGGAGCCAGTATTATAGCTTGCTATCACAGACATACACGTATGCACTGGTGTGTGTGATTATATATGTGTAAGAACTTTGGTTATACTGTACATTTATGTGTATATTCACACACTCACATATATGTGGGTGTGTGTGAGGTCAGTGTGCGTGGTTGCAACTTGGTCAGTCGGGGTTGCAACTCGGGTCACTCCTTCCCTAATGGCTCTACATAATAATCTCTACTGTGCCTCTTAAAAGTCCTTTCTCGCTGATTTGTCATTCTCCTCAAGAAAACCTGTCAGATTCAAACAATGTTTTTTCCTTGATTTATTATTCAACTTCCATGCATGTCCAAAGTCAACATGAAGACTTTGAGGAGGTTACAATATCTTGTAGTGCACAGTGTAAGTTGCTGTGTGGTATATTCGTCAGGCCCAAGCTCTCACCCTTGAAAACCAACATCAGCTTGCACTGAAATAGGATTTGTGTTTCCTGGGTTATTGAAACCAGTGAACCACAGGGCCTTTGAGGGTTTAACATATTTTCCAGCATTGGGAGAGATGGAACACCACGGTTTTCAGCAATTAAACACCTCACCATAGAAGAACTTCGACTTTGCAGAACTCCCACACAGTCAAGTTGGGTATTGTGTTCCTTCTCTTAAGCAATGAACAGAAGTTATATGGTGTCTTGTGACTAACAGAGCCCTCGTTTCCCCCTTTTCCACTACCATTTAACATGCTTATAGCCATTTTCACTTTAATGGTTCACACTGGGGTTCTTGAAAGTTTAAAGACTTTACATATCTGACATGTTTCATGTCTATTTTCATTTCTTTCCCATTGTATTTTCCTTTTAATTTGCCTTGCTCTGGTCCAGGATTGTTGAGATTGAAAGGCAGAAGAAAGGGGACATGCTTAGGGATAAATTGCAGTAATGGAAACACCCCCTCCTAGCTACTGGATAGCTAACTTGGCCCGTTTGTTAAATGCTTCATCTTCTGCATGCACTGACAAACGAATAGGCCCGTGGAAGAGCTTGGAGGACAAGACAAGGGCACCCTGGAGTTAGCCAACGCAATATCCTGAGTGTGACTTTATCTCCCCCTCCATCTTCCTTTTGCAGACGTGGGCTTACTGTGGATATTTGGTTATTCAGCCTTCTCCCCTTGACCCAGCACTAATAAATACAAGCTACGAAACTTGTATAGAGGCCTTTCTTATGACTACCTTCCCCACTTCCTTTTTTCTGATCCCTCTTTCACACGGTGTTGGCCAAACAAAGACATCAACATCTCTTTGCATCCAGGGAGTAATTTATGAGGTGCTGACAGTCTGATGGGAGGCAATAGAAAGAGAGTTTTACCAGCAACAGGTCTTTCAGCACGTAGTACTGTGAAAGTTAGTTGAACTACTGGACACAGTCTGCCCTTACAAGCATGTCTGTCGAACTGCAGTCTGTACTGCATTGTACTACATAGTTACCTCCACCAAGGAGGTTATATTTTCGGTGCTGTTTGTTTGTTTGTTTGTCTGTCAGCAGGATTATGGGAAAAACTACTGACCGATTTTCATGAAACTTGGTGGAAGGGTGTAGGGCCAAAGGGTGATGGGCCAAAGAAGAACCCATTAACTTTTGAAGTGGAGTCAAATCACTGGTCGGATACACTAGTTATTTTTCACTTTTGTTAACATTGTGAGAAAGGTCAATAGGTCAGTGTAATACATATATAATTGTCATGATAGAAGACTAGACTATTGGCCATCTACGCTGTAGTTTTACTATCTACTAATAGTTTCACACTGAGCTTCCTGTGAGGCAGAGGTTTGTTTAGTGGCAACAACCTTCAGCAGGTGGCACAGAGGGGACTGTTCAGTTATTGTCAGAGCATTATGTAGGTACCAACCTGTGCCTCCTATAGGATAGGAAAGTAATAGCAGCAGATGTAGATGTAACAATGCTGCCATCCATGGACAATTGTTGCTGCGATTTTATCATATCCACCACCTGCAGGCAATGAGTTAAAACTGCATGTTTAAGATTTAATGTTTAATACTTCTGGCTGTTATAGTATTTCAATTAACATCAGATGTTTTTTTAAAGTAACAAACAAAACATTAAGTGAATTATCATCATAAATCAACATTCAAATTTGCATAGAAATACAATTTGACTTGTGGCTTTAAAGCACCAAGTATTTTTCTCTCTATATGCAAGCCCACACACATTCCAAAGTCAGTGAACTTCCATGACCATATTTAAGGACCAATCTTAACATTAAGCAACACATAACATGTGCATAATTACATAATATGTAATCCAACACGTAACATAAAGTATACCCAACACATATTTTAACATTTTCATTAACTTTTTTTTTTTCAGCAAGGTAACCTATCTGCTTTTTGGAATACACTCTAGTTTTTCATATCCATCCATTCTGTAAACCACTAATGCTGTTCAGCATCAATTGTGACTAGATCCAATCCCAACTTGCCACATTTAAAAAGCAGCTATAGGAAAAGAACTGCGGTAGGAACATTCATTGCCTGCAGGTGGCACAAGGGCCAAAATTCTAGAGACATTTGCTTTCCTTGGACATTTCTTGATAGGCCTGGTATCAGGTGCTTTGCATCAGTGATATAATGTTTCCCTGTTGTTGTTGACATTTTTGTATGGGGAACTCTCTTTTTTTGCAGTTATACAGGCTTTTCTGCTTATGCTAACTATCCGATTCTACTTAAAATTGTTTCACAAAAGTCACAACTGTAAAACACCTGTACAAATATCTGCACCAGATTTTTAGACTGAAAACAAAAAGAAACAAAATGGGGAAAAAGGGCAATTCTGCATAGACTTTTTGTCTTCTTTAGCCTTTTCTTTTTTCCTAACAAATGAGTGTAGATAGAATTGAGTGTGCTGCTTTCATACCAGTGTGGTTTCCAAAGGTCAAGGTTAAGCACCCCTCTGGGAGTGTGTGACACAACGTTGAGTCTTCAAGCCCTTAGCCCACCTCATGCCTGATCTGCTGTGACCATGTTTTACTGTCCAGGTTGGTTATAAGGCCGGACAATAATACCAGACCCCGCTACTGTTCTCTGATCATTACCATATGGGAACCGTATTGCAGCTGAAAACCCTTTTTTTGTCCGCTTCCTCTCAAACAGTCCTGACATGCTGAATAATCCAATAACTCCCAATAAATTTTCTCCTGTGGCCAACACAAAGTAGGGCAGCCAGGGAAGGCAGTGTGGGTGCTGCTGTTGTGAGGTGCACATTCCATTGAGTGATAAGTATTGTAGATCTTGTGCATCCAGTGTGACTGAAAGATTTATTAGTCCCTACTATATGGAAAAGCAGGCGTGTCATTGAAGGAGCATACATGACTTGGAAAACAAGAAGAAACATGGAGTTATATCTGCTGTACATTAGACAAAGTCTCTAAAAATATACTGAAAATATGCAGCCTATAACCAATCACATGACATTTATGCTTTACAGTTTTTGCAGGAACCATCTGTAATAGCTCACCCACCACAGAAACACTGTGGTGTCATTGAAGTGAATGAGGAAGCTTGCAAATCTTGCCACAGTGGGTCTGAATGTTATTCTCTATAATCAGATATCTGCATATGAATTAGAGCTGGGCGATGAATCAATTCAATCGTTTGATTCAAATTTACGTTTTAAAATGTTGCAAAAAATGGTTTACTTGTCAAAAATGGTGACTTAAACTATTGATTTTGGGGGGCCTGTTAGCTCACCTGGTAGAGCTGGCATAGACTAAACAAGTCCCCAGATTTGGCAACAGAAGCTTTTTGGTTTCTGTTTGTAACCCGGGTAGTATTGACCAATCACATTTGAACGCGCTTTGGTTGCATAATGTTAAACTGTGTGGAGAGAGAAAGAGGCGGAATGGCTTATGCATTCATATGCAGATATTTGTTTTTAGCAATTCGTCAAAATGTGTCTTTCTAGTCATTCTTGTGTATCAACTTGCTAATCGGACTGCTGAGACCGAGATATCCGTTTACCAGATAGCCATTGGCTACACTGGAAAACATTGGGTTGGTCTGAATGTAAACTCACAAGAGAACACTTTGTCATTGTCTTCTACTTGGATACTTTGAATGAATGGCTAAATTGTGTATAGGGGATTTTTTAGAAGGTGGCCATTTTGTAAGAGATGTTTTTTTAATTTTTGGACTGATTTTGTTTATTTTCTCAATATTTCATATGTCAGCATTTCTGTCGGTGCAAAATTAATTTCTTATTTTCTGCTACTAAGGTGAATGTTTTATTTGCAGGCATCTGAATCTCCCCTTGCTTTGCTCCTTGCATGCAAAGCACTCAAGTTTGTGTGTATTGTCAATGTGTAATTTTCATATACTTGCCTCCAAGGTCTTACATTTTGTGTTATACTGTTGAAAATAATCCCTTCTTCTTAATGAGATTCTGGTTATATTTAATGGAACAAAGACCCATTTAAATGTGCTACACTGAATAAATCAGCAGATACATTTAGAGCATCAATGTAGTTACTGACCATTGACGAGTACTTTGTTGTAGTTCACATTCTCTGCCCCCTGGTCAGTTTTGGAGGGAAACTCTTGGAGCACAAGACAGGAAGTGTGCTGCTTTTCAGCAACATGGTTCATGGGAAATGTGGTAATTTGAGTTTGACATGTTAAACACTACATGGAGCACCTTTGAGGCCCCAGGCAATACAGTACAGTTTCTACTTGTCTCAACGTTGTACTTTTTTCCCTCCTGAAGCAAAGCTAAGCCGCCCCCTCAGATCTCCCCGAGCAAGTCCAGTGGAGGAGAATTCTGTGTGGCCGCCATATTTGCCTCCTCTCGCTCCTGGTTCATCACCAACCCCAATCTGAAAAGAGAGAAAGGTAAGATCATAATCAAAGCTGGTTTTCACATTTTTCTACAGTCAATAAGTGAAAACTAATTGGCTAATAAAAACAAAATCTTTCACATTCTCTTCACAGATCAATCCAGGCAGTCGGTTGTCGACTCACTGTACATCATCAGTTGCTATGGTAACTTGGTGGAGCACGTCCTGGAGCCTCGACCAATTAGCACAGCTCAAAAGATTAGCGATGACACGCCTCTGGAGCTCAGCACCTGTCCAAGGGCCTGCTGGACTCTAGCCAGGTAACACTACATTCACCAGTATGTCATAGAAAAAGTGCCTCTAATGTAATCAGTCTCATAGACGGTTTGTTTTTTCGGAGCAGGACTCCACAGTGGAACGAGCTGCAGCCACCCTTCAACTCTAACCACCCCTTGGTGTTGGCCTCAGACCTGGTGCAATACTATCAGTACCTTCTGGCTGGTAAGTGCTAAACAAATCCTTTTTGTGTTCATTAGTTTACACAAACAAGCGTGATCTTAGTATCAGGTTGTGTTCAAATAGAATGCAAAGTAACATTTCGGAGAAGCAGAAGTGCAGACTAAGTCAATGGAAAGATGTAAATCAATGCAGATTTGCTAGGCAGCTCAAATGGAAGTGAACATGTGTTTCACGTTTCAGGTCATTGGGATCCTGGTAAAGACAGAAACATTATGATCGTGCTACAAGCATACAATAAAGGATTTCTAGAAACAAGCTTTTGGTACCTCATCAGTTGTGAATTAATTTTGTTTCTCCAAACTGCACTTAAGTCACTCTGGATCTATATTTTTCATTTTTATATGGTCAGGTCAAATTTCAAACCACTATGTTGTCACAGAGATGGTCTCTTCTTCAAACAAAAACTGAGGCCATACAAATGTTTTGAAAGATACTATAATCACTTAAAAATTATTTCATAGTGGCTTTAAGATTATCCTGAAGAATATGATGCCATGTTATTAATACAGACAGTGTAGAATCTTGGAAATTTCATTCTTTAAGCTGAGATGAGATAAAAGCTGAGATATTTTTGTAATTTCAGGTTAATCAATCGTTGCAGATCTCTAAATAAAATGTGAATCTGAGTTTTCTTGTACTCATTAACCACCAAATCCTATGCTCTGATGCTATTGATGTTTTTGCTTGGCCTGCAAATACTATGTTTGTTTATTACATGTGTGCATCATAAAACATAGGTCTATGTATGTTTTGGTTGCACAGGCTAACATGACTATGTATGTTTTCTGTATGTACTATCTGCAGTACTACTCAAGGGGGTGACCCCTAATCTCTGATGATTATCCATGTTGACTGTGTTGAAAGCCAGTCCTCAGCCTCTTATCTGTGCCACATGCTGAGAAGAGACCTTTCCAGTCAGCAGCCATAACATTTCCTTTCTCAAAGACTTCAGAGAAAGATGCTTCAACCATTTCTACCATTACATATCCTCTGAGCCCTGTCACAAGTAATCTAGTATTAGTTCTTCTGTTCGGTTCTGCACCTCGAATCTGTCCTTTGCCGGCCACACTACACGCCTGCTTCAGGACATGCTTGCACTGTGCTATAAGATGCCGGACTCAGACCAATTAGCTGACACCCTAAACTTTCTCTAATTCAATAACAAGTACAGAGCAATAAGCACTTTATGTTGCCCTCTGAAAGGCCAATTCGCATGCATTTGCAAGTGCACATGGATGGCCACACACGGAATCAATCCACCCCCTGGAATAGGCTGGCGTTTTGAGCTCACTCCATAATTATAAACACACAAAATCTGTAATTAGCTCTTGCGGCTGCTCCAGGGCAAGTGGTGGCTGTGTTTACCCTAATCTCTCTACTCATCTCCGTTGACTTCTGCAGTGCTCCAGGTCTAACTGGTAGGATATTTTCCCAAATTAGTGCTAATGGTCTCTCCTAGTGTCAGAGCGATGAGGACACGTTGGGGTGACGGGTACGGGCGTCAGCTTTTTCCACCATTCTCTCTGCCAGCATGGGCAGTGGAAGTGCCTGCATAATGAGAGAGATTCATTGCATTAACATTTACATCCAATTAACAATAGCCAGATAACACCGCCGAATCTCTTTATTCTCCAAACCAACCAAGTGTGAACGAGGTCAAGACGCTATAAACATAATTGTTCAGCCCTCTACCCACTTCTTGTGCTCCTGCCATTTTCCCTCCGGGTCAGCGTCCTATACACCACCAACACCGACCGAGTTGCTCTTGGAGTGCCACCTTCCATTTCTATGCTTTGCACCCGAGCGCAGACTCTCAACATCCTTTTTCTCAGCATGTGTCCCCTTTGCAGGCCCTCTCCTATGCTGTTTCCTCCAGGGCTTGGCAGCGCAACAGAGAAGTGATCCAGGAGAAAGAGTCGATTTGACCTTAGGATGAATTACAACACAGCCATACGCCTCTTGTCCAGCTGCCTCTTGCTGAGCACAAAGATCATGCTGCTGCAGAGGAAACTGAAAAGACACAGTGTTCTTACTTGCAGAACAAATTGTGCTATCTAGGTCTAATTTACATCGTGGATACAACCACCACAAGAAATAACTAGTAGCAACAAAGGAAATGAGGCAAGAAAGTTTTTACTTCTAGCCGAGAAACAGAAGTACTGAAAGAGTCAAAGAATTAGGGTAAGAAATCTATATAAATTTCTCCTTTAGCTAATTGTCTACCAAACTATGACTTCGTCTCTAAAAAGGTGGTGCAAGGCAAAGAGGTGGCAGTGCTTGATTGACAGGCCATGGTCTCCGGTCTCATGGCTCTATATTGGATGACCCAGGCTGATTAAAAATGCAGTATGCAGGGAAAGGAATAGGAAGGGGAGAGGAAGGGCCGGGGTCAGGCCAGACCGGAGCCTCCAGGACGGGATGATAAAAGGCAGCAGTGGCGCCACTTCATGGTCACTATCTCCACCTGTCCATCTGTAGCAGCTACTGGCAGCACTCAGCCTTGCAGAGGACGGCAACGTGCAGCACTGCCTTGGAGAGATAAGGAAGAAAGAGACACACATTATACAGTACACTCACAAATAGAGGAGATGCAGTAGTACGATCTGGCTTAATAAAAGCAGTCTCGAGCCAAGTTTTTAGTGTTTGGGGAATCCTCTATCTGTAGCTTAGGCAGAATCACAGGATTCCTGTCTGTGTCTCCAAAAGTACTCATTTGTCTATTAGGCAAGTGTGTGAATGGGCCTTTTTTCTTTTGGCCTAAGGTGTTGGAGCTGGGTAATAACAGAATGACTACTCTAATCCCTATGATAACAGTGTCTGCACTGTGATGAATGTGAGGTTTTCACACCCTCATTAGCTACATTGAGACTTTTTATACACAGTGGGTCTTTCCCATGTATGATTTTTTTGTCGAGGTGCTATTTATCTAGCTGTCCACAGTATGTTTTCTGACACCTCTTCCCCACGCCACAAAGTTGCTCTGAAGCAAACAAACCGGTGAATAATTTACCACCTGGATTTCTAGCTGGCTCCTTTGAGCCCGATGATGATGGCAGCAAAAGAGGCTTTGCTTTTTGGCCGCGGCCCTCCCCTTCCCTACCTGTCATATAATGTGCTAATTGTGGAGACTGACTGACTGGCTGGCTTGGCTGCTCTCTTGGGACTTTGAGGCCCATGACAGGCCAGCCACAGTTGCCTCGTCAATAGATCTAATTGCTCCGAGAGAGGGGCCAGAGTGAAGGCTTTGGAGCATCAGGCGTTTGGTAAAGAGAAACCATGGCGCCATGACTGGGTCAGTAATCAAAGAGAGGCAGAGAAAGGATGGGGTAAGTGTAGCGCTGGCTGAATGAGGGAACTGTCAGTCAAATACGCCTTGAATGATATATAATGACTAAGCTCCCAGTCTGTCAGTATGCCAGCACCTATCTGCCAGAGTACTACTCAAAAGAGGAAAGTGAGAAGAGAGGAAAGTGAGAAGAGGTACAGGTGGAGCAGTCGAGAGGGGAGCCGAGCAGGTGAAATTTCTGGCAACCAAGTGGGGCGGGTCAAAGCACAGAGAGGAAAAATAAAAGACTAACAAAATGAATCTTTAAAAAATATAAATGAAAGAGATAAAGGTGAACAGGGCGGACAGCCCAGACAAGACGGCTATTCTCTGTCCACCGTGCAGCCAGCTCTCCAGATCTATCAGATTGTTAGCCCCTTATCTATCCCTGGAGATCGGCCTGTCCGGCCCCTGGCCCAAGGCCCCAGGAGGTCGGGCTACATCAATACCTAGGCAGCCTTTGTTCTTGTTCTGACTCCCTGCTTCACTGCTCTGGCTAACAGGCCACTGGCTACCAGCCTTCAGCACAGCAAAACACCACTCTCTCCACAGTCAATAAAGACTGCAACACAGACAACTCTGTTCCTCGGTGGTGTAGAGAAGATTGTTTTTCTGCTTATGTGGGTATGCAAGCACATAATCACCAGGGTTTGTTATTAAAGAAATGGACCAGAAAACAAATCATTCATCCTGTTCTTTAACAAGGCAGTTACTGGCTCGAAATCATATTTCATCAATTATAGTTTTCTATCTTTGACATCAACCGTCATAAGAACAATAGAATGTGAGTGTAGGCTCTACTGAATGATGATTTTACATTTTCTGCCACTTCCTAAGAAGTGGGTAATTTACAACCAGACAATATACACGGGGATACAGAACAAAAATCAACAAACAAATCATCTGGAAGATCAATTGATAAACTGTTTTTGGATGAACTAAAAAGATTCCACTGTCTGTTTTTGGCTAATCCAGCATATTGAATACCTGAGAAATACAGATATCTATATAGAAACATTTCCATACAGCAGTCCTGCTTATTGATCTACAGAGCTGCCCACAAGGGGCAAATACACCCAGAGATATTAGATGTAGAGATACCACAATATGAGTGTTAACAAATGTCTCATAGTATATATGATATTGTCCAACCCCATGTCAGAAACATATTTTTTTACCACCTACCAACACCAACCTTTTGTAGCAAACAAATATTCCATCGCCACTCAATTGGAAAGGTCCCTCAACCACAAAATAAAAGCCAGGATTTAGTGATAGTGCAGTATGTTTGGGCTGCAGCACTTATGGCAGAATAATGCAGGGTCAGGCAAAGAAGCTTAATGTAGCTCAACGTCTGTCGCAACAGAAGTCAAAGGCAAAAGTCCTTTCTGGTAGTGTATAATAACTGTAACATGAACATTGTATCTCAACTGTTCAGAAGCAATAATCTCAGTGAAAGATAATACCTTTCCAGAGTTGTAAAAATCCTGTCTCATAATAAAATAAAAATTGTTGTGCTGTGTTTTGGCATTGGATATACCTTCAAATGTGTGATGGAAACATTCAGTACATTTCACCAAAATCTCTAAAATTCTGTCCTACATTTCACACATTTGTCTACAGTAGATTATTACTCTTGAATTGATGCCCATTCCTCTCTGATCATTCCTAAGTAATGACTGGCTTATTCTCTGATGTTTCTTTAAATCCATAAACAACAAAACACAGTCATTTCTACTGTAGCTATAGCCATACATTCAGACTCCTTTCTTGAGTGCGGTGCAATAAGTTTGCACTTAAAAAATTAGCTGTCTGTGAAATTGCATTGACGCTGTGTCTCTTAAGAGCCTGTAATGAGGGTTGTAAAAGCAGAAGGCCGAGTGGCTGGCTACTCGGACACTAAGATGGGCCGATATGACTGTAACAGCCTTGGTCAGTCTGGCTCCTGACGTGCACACTGACACACAGACACACACACACACACACACACACACACACACACAGGGAGAGTTGTTTCTTTGCTTGACCCATGGGGATGACCACTAGCTCCCCACACCGGAGCCTGGCCTGGCTGTGACTGGCCATTGAAAGCCCCGCCCTCCTTCCCTGGAAACCTGATCCAGCCAGTCCACCAACTGCTTCAGAACATCAATAATTAATTAGGGAACAGCTATTGGCCCCAAGGGTCAGAGAGCAAAGAGAGAGAGAGAGAGACAGAGAGAGAGAGAAGGCAGTGGTAGGAAATAGGGGAGTCGTGATTTTGTTTAATAAGTAACACAGGCTTTTGTTCTTCTTCCATTTTAAAACAACATGAGAACCCTTCTCTGCCTCCGTCTCTCTGACTGTAGCCCTAGCTCACTTTCCCTCTTGTTAAAGTGTCATTACAACCAAATGACAAAAGAAAACAACAGAAAAAGCATAGTGGTATCTTGCCATGCAGATAGTTTTGGTTATATTTGTGCTGGTTTCATCTGTCCCTGACATTATGCCTGCACCCTAATACAGTAGAGATTAATGGAATATTGTGTTGCGGTGCTCACTGCACTGAACAATTACATACAAATTCAACAAACATGTCTCTGCTTCCAAATAAATAGTCCTTATAAGATTTTGCTTTTAAATGTCACTTTTCGTGGTGTGAGGACCAAATGTCCATTTATCCTCTTTTGTTTTTTTAGTTGAGGCAGAGAAACTTAGCTAGATACCTCTAGAGGTAAGAAATGTTTTGTATGATTTGGTTTCATATAGCAGATTGCTTTGGCCACATTGTTATTATTCTGTTTTGAAATCAAGTAATCACTTCAATATTTTATGAAGAAAAAATATCAAACATTGTATGGTTCCTGCTTCTCCAATGTAAGAATTTGTCACTTTGCTCTGTTTTATATTATTGTAAATTTAATATTGCAGGGGTTTAACCAAAGCAAGTAATTTTAAGACTTTTTTGACTCTAAGAAGTTATGATTAGTTTTTTTTTTTGTGAAAATGATTGTTAGTTATAGCATATTTAATTTTTTATGTATAAAGTTTTTATTATAAAATTATTTGAATCCATTAAATAAAGGACAAATAAAAACATCTAGCAATGTGGTCTTTTTCCACCCTTTGAAATCTTTGTCTTCCTGAAAAATAAATTATTTGATAACTTTGAGTTACAGAATGTAACTATTTCTTCTCTGTATGTTCATATCCTCATATTTGTCATATGCTACTCTCTTAGATGTTTTTATAATGGCAATTGATTTGACAAGTCCTCTTTCACTAGATTGTCTTTAGGTTCTTTAGGACTATGCAGTGTTTTTTTTACACTGTCCAGTGCTGTTTTATGTATTTCTCTTGGTTTTCTGTTGATGCAGTTTAAGTTTCTGTAGGTGGCGCTTTTTTCTCTGTCTGTTCAACCGTTGTGTATAACACAGTTATACACACAGCGCACTACTTCAGAAGCAGGTGTAAGAACTGTGCAAACCTCATACTTCATAAGGGAAGTGTGTATGTTGGGGTTGGGGGGTTGATGTGACATTCGTTACAGAGGTGTCAAACACCAAACCGCCTCCATCAGGGATGTATGAATGAACACCTGGTACGTGTGTAAGTGTGTGACAGTGCAAGTGTGTGTGTGGATGAAGACAGGAGCGCCTCCTGTGCTCCAGATGTGGACTTGACAAGTTTATTAGCCATTCCTGTGTTAAACAAACCCCATCCCTGAGGTGGGAGACAGAAAGGACTGATTCTACACATTAGGCCTCATTCTCCACGCCTGCTTATTCAAGCCTGCAAGAGCCCCATCTGTCTCTAGGTCTCTCTGTCACTCTCTCTCTCTCTTTATAACGCCCACACACACGCTGTTCCTCTCTCTCACACTTTACTGTACACTTGCTTTTTCACACACACTGGCACGCACCTGGCACGGATTTTACTCACAAGTTTTTGATCCTACAAAAAAAGACTCTCGTATGTGCACGATTTTAAAAGTTTTATCTGGTCCGGTCAGTCATCACATTTAAGAAATGATATTAACAAAATAACTGCAGTCTGTATGTATTGGCTGTCGAAGACCATATCAGTCAAAGCCTAAAGACTCGAACACTCTTCAATAAACTAGTTGTCAGTTATCATTTTCCTTCACAGGCTGATTTATGTAAATAGTTAATGGCAAAATGTGATTCACTGCCCTGCTTTGACTACTCAGTCAGCTTCGGCTTACTGATATCCCTCTCCGATAGCTGCGCTGGTGTCATATTTTATAATGTCGAAGGCCTTCACACTTTTAGAGAGAGATACTTTCTGGCTTTAAAGCTATGATGATATTGGACTAATATTGTCAGCTTCAGAATATCAAATGTCGTCATTGGGTGTAAAATCATTTAATCATTTATGTGTTTTTGTGTGTGTGTGTGTGTGTGTTCTCTCAGCAATGCCCCCAGGAAGCCCAGGCCCAATCACACGTCACGAGTCTTCAGACAGCCTGGCGTCGGACCACAGTGGCCAGGAGGATGAGGAGTGGCTCTCTCAGGTCAGACCTCTACCTCAGCTGACATTACAGTGACATTAGGATTGATTGCCATTACCTGACATTCAGTGAGATTGCACCCAGCGTTTGATTGCTGCAGCCTCAGTCATACTTCTACAAAATCTCCCAGTAACTAATATTTCCATACTTTAAAAAATATATCCAGTACTGAAGGACTCAAGGCCTTATGTTTTGTAGTTTTACCAATGACCATTTATTAGTGTCTAGCACATAGTCAAACTGTGGTGTGATGGTACATGTCCACAGGGGCTTTTTTGGAGGGGGGGGGAATCAAGGCGCTTCTCATATTGGTGCTACACCCTCCTACAACCACGCAAACACTTCTGGCTGCACCTGATTGGACAAATGGTTGCTGCGTCGGGATTTCAAACCATGGCAGACATGGCAGCTCATGCAGAAACTTTCTGTCATATTACAATCGTAGTTTACTGAAATGTGCTTCTGAAAACATTTTAAGCAAGAAAAAGCCATGTAGTTGCCGAATCTGTCTTGGTTTTCGATTGACAACGGTTAGTTTCAACGTTTTTTTAGAGTTTTTAGTTTGACACCATCTCTCAAAACACAACGTGGTGCTACCAGAATGCATTGTACAGCTGCTCATATAGACAATGAATGGAAAGCAGGGAAATGACACGTACCTTAAGCACATGTTCATGAAGCAAAATTATTATTTTTTGCTGCTTAATTAAAAATTAAAGCTGCACTAATCAATATTTCTACTTGAACAATTATTAAATAAGTATGTGTAATAGAAAAGGGGCTAGTTTGCAATGGACACAGAATTCTCATCCATCTCTGCAGTTCCTCCTCTCAGCTCTATGGGGCTTTTTAACCTCTTTAACCTCCTATTAATTTTTTTTGTGTTCTGGCCCTCATCTCCTATCACATTAGGGTTGTTTCCAGACGTAGCAGGAAGCTGTTTTTAGTAAGAAAGCTCTGATGAACCCTGTACACTACCTCCCCAGCACCAAATGGCAGGCGGACAAAGTTAGTGACTAGCTGGTGAACATAGTGGAGTGTTTAGCAACTAAAAAGCCCCAGGTTTCCCCTTAGGAGCTGAAATAAATTGAAAGTGAATATCACTGTACATTTCTCAGGTTACTCTAAATAAATGCTTATGTTGCTGGATATGGAAAACTGTTTGCTAACACAACTGTAACAACTTCATTGGATGATGCTACATCAATTATGCGTTTTGACATGTTCCACTTCTCCCAAGTGCATTAATTGCAGCTTTTACAACATTAACTCTTATTTGGCAAAATTTGAACAAAATTGGATTGTGGTCAGGACATGCGATCCTCCCATCCCCAGTGAAAGGTATTTGTGTATATATATTTGTGCATACAGTAATTGGATCTTAATTATTTGGTTTCATACATATTTACTCTTCTTCCTCAGTCAAATAAAATGACTTACTTTGTGGCTTTCTCCCAGTCACAAACGCCATCTTAAATTGTGCTCAAATTTTCATAGTATTTGGTCAAGGCATGTTATGGAAATCCAGTACACATACCCTGGGCTTTTCAGCTTGGTTAACCCTCAATGCACTCATCTCTGGTGTTGGCAGGTAACCCACTACATTTTCACCATCAATTATTCCACTGCATGCATAATTGATTGGTTAAAATGCACCCCACTTAGCTTGCTGAGGCCCTGGTTCATATCTGCCATGATAGTTTGCCAGGAGCAAAACTATCCATTGCACTAACCCAGAATTTTGGTGACTTCCTGTCAGAGCAGTGGTAGTGGTGCATTTGTCAGTGGTTGGAGATGTAACAGCACAGCTCTTCATGCATGTACCTAAGATAAGTAGCTTTTAAGGAACATTTCGGACTATCAGTAAATTTAGGATAAGAGGACCGAACCAAAATGAAACGTGGGTTTGTAGGTCAGTTATATAGGTTAGTTTGTATTTATTTCACTCCCTCCAAAATTTGTGAAAAGACTAGGACACATCAAGCACAATAGCTTGGCGTATTGAGAAATGCTAAGTACATATAGGCTATGTTAAATTAGAGGCTGAGCACTGCCTTGTGGATTTCATTACATCATATCAATGGCCTTCATTAGATTATCAGTGGGCATTTTGGCATTGGGTTGGGATTTTGGATTGAATGGCGGGCCCCTAATGAAATGTGAGGTTTGTGACCCTCCATGTCAGTGCTTTAGCTCGCTGCAGCATCATGCCATTTGCTGCCTATCAGTGTTACTTGCTCTTCAGCAGGCTGGCTGTCAGTAGACAGACAAAACATCCTGCCCTAACAGAATCCACTTCAGGTCTCTACATCTCATCCGTCAATGGTGATGTGATGGAAAGAATGTGACGTAGACAGTAGCAGTGGATGGATGGTAAAATTGTTCAAGATTCTAGTCTTTCCTAATACACGAATAAATGCATTCTAGGAAATTCTGCAGGATTACAGTTATTATTTTTCCCTAACTATGGATTAATGATATTTCATTATCAATGTGTAAAATATTAGATGCCAAGTGCTTTTTTTATAAAACCAGGCAAACTGATGGCTCAAGCTGCTGCACTAACAAATATTGGAGACCATTCTTGGACTGCTTCACAAACAGACTGTGAACTGTCAGAAGTATTTTAGCCCTAATGGATATTGCAATTCAGATCAGACATAGGCAAGAGTTTGAACTTCACTTTTTACATGTATAACAACTGATATATCATAATGCATTCAAAAAGAGACTGTCCAAAAGCAGTGTTGATGTCCCAGTTTGTACAAAACATTGCGTTTACATTACCCAAGAGACACATACATAGTTCATAGTAAAGATTTTGAGGCAGTGGGATGCAACCTGCAACCAGGTGAAGGCTATGAGGGCATCCTTTTCACCTCGCTTTTCAGGGTGGCCTTCTGAAATGGGTATAAACACTTTTGTCTGTAGACGTCAATGCTCACTGTAGACGTCAGACGTCTTTATATTCACTGTACCTCTTAAAACCCGCTGCCGATGCATGTACATTTTTATTTGATGTGGTAAAGCTCATTTCAGGTAGACAGGCTTACCTCTTCCTTGATGTTGACCAGTCTGAAGTTTGTTTGCAACAAACAACAACAAACGTGTTTCCCATTAGTTAGCTTGATCTCGCTTGGTGCCCAGTCTATAGAGGGTATAGGCCGTAGGGACAAACCGGAGCAACATGTCCTGCACTCTGTCCAGCGAGATGGAAAGGGGAGGGGGTCAGGGGTTGACACTGGACTGTAACATCTGGACCTTCCATCCCGCTGCAAAGAGAGCACACTGGCAGCTGTTCAGCTCTGCGACTGGCCGTGACATTGATGGTGTTTACTGGCAAAGCACACACAGACACAGACACACACAGACACACACAGACACACACACACACACACAATGACTATCCTCCTCCCTCCTTCTGTGGCCTAATTTGCACAGCTGTGACAGACCACCTCTATCTAAATGTTCATGAGCATGTATGTGTAGAAACAGAGACAAGCAGAAGAATTAAGGAAGTGTAAGCTCTCACTCTCAGATGTTGGCACCTGGCAGCCAGAGTGGAGTGAGACTGTGAGCTGAGAGCTGGACTGAGGTGAGAGAAGAATGCGTACAAAGTAAGGATAATGAAATGTGAGCAGTGAGACACCAAGAGGCGTGTTAAGTGCTGCAGGGAGTTGAAAAGTCCAAGTTAGCGTGGGAGAGCAGTGAAAAGTGGGAGTCCAAGGCAGGAGATGGTTAGTCAGTAAAGAGGAGATGGAGAATGGAGGAGGCAGTAATAGTCCAATGTTTATGAGTCAGCCACTCTGTAGCCCTCTCCTATCCTACTTTAAGCCAGCATTAGTGCCACTCATCTCAGGCACACATGGACCGCCTGCCATGCCAGCACCATCTTATTCTCCCAGTAGGCCTCACCTCAGCCTCGCTGCCATGCTGCTCCTAGTGTCACACTTCTATTAACCCTCCGGGAAGGCTTCCCATCATGCCCCCAGCACTCCCAACACACACAAGACCTTGACGAGTTCTGACAACGTCGACTTTTACTGGTGCAGGAGTACAGCAAGCTTTTAGTTGGATGTCATGTAACTGAGTTCATCTCAGTACTGCATGGGGTGTTTGAATATTGGCACATAGACTGACGCCAAACCACTATGTCAAATCCACTCATGACGATTCTTCAGAAAAGCTGCTAGGACTCTATCCTTGACTAACTGCTGATGGATTAGTAGAGGAGTGCTATGGATGGCAGTGTTGGTCTGTCTGTTTGGTCGGATGGTCCAATAGTATAACAGTACATTCTATGACTCACTTCATATGTCTAGATATGTTGTCTTTTTGACAATAGATGGGAGTCCGTGGATAAGTTGCAGTTAACTCAGATATGTCTGTAATAACAGCAGGACAGAAATGGGTAAATGTTAGAAAGGTTATAAGCTAACAGAAAAATGACTTTAGAAGAGTCCTGTGGTGAACTTTATGGATATAGATGAAACTAAATTGCAATGATGTACCCATATCATTGTAAGGACCCGTGCTGGTAAGTTTTTTTGTGTGGTCACTAGGTAATCATTGTTTAACTTTTATTAAAATTACAAAGGTTTCTATTGCTATTACCAAGTGATATATTGGATACTGATTTATCTTAGAATATGGATAGTAGACCTCAGGAATACGCTTGGCTTTTTCAGGAAGATAGATAAAAGAAATTATCAATGGGAGATAAACACAGGTGTTACCAATGATACCAATTAGGGTTCGGTTCCATTCAGGTTAAACAGAGTCACGTTGCTGCTCTAATACATTAACATCTCTCTAACCCTACTATTTCATGTCAAAATGTCTGCCGTCAAAAAGGTCTGTTGCATTGAGTTACAAATGGGGTAGAAAAGAAGCCTAAATCTGACGTCATGTCTTTGGCTTTCTGTAGCATAGTCATTGTGTCCGACCAAATACTTACAGTATTAAAACTAATGGCCTTGCCATCAGCCTTAACTGTTATTAGTGCTATTTAGCAAATGTTAATGTGCTAACATGCTAAACTAAACTGAGATGGTTGATAAACATTACCTCCAAAAATCAGCATGTTAACATTGTCATTGTGAGCATGTTAGCATCCTGACATTAGCAAGAAACACAAGCACAGAGACACCTGAGAGTTTCTCAAAGATCTTGACCTTGTTTGGAAGACTATAAATAGTTCTCTCTTCTCACTAACCTTTACCTTTGTGTTCTCAGGTGGAGATCGTGACCCATACAGGGCCCCACCGGCGCCTGTGGATGGGCCCCCAGTTTCAGTTTAAGACCATTCACCCTTCGGGCCAGACCACAGTCATCTCCTCCTCGTCCTCAGTCCTTCAGTCCCAGGGCCCCACTGACGTCCAACAGCCCCTTTTGGACTTTGACACAGACGACCTGGACCTACACAGCCTCAGGTACTTTGAAACTATCAAAAATAATGCACCCAGTAGTAAAGATCTGGCGTTAGAGCTGCATTGGGCTTGATTTTGATGTTATAAATGTAATTCACAAAGATGGTTTGTTTTAGCTTACAAGGTGCTCACTGCAATTTAACAGAAATTTAACCGACAAGCATGTGGAAGAATAATATTCTTATAATCATAGATATCCCCAGTTATCTAGTGTGGACAGCTTTACAGTTAATCACTAAAACAACAAGTAGGTTTGTTCTTTTTGGGTGTGTAATAATGTACACATACTATACATGTGCAGGATCCAGCCGGTACGTTCGGAGCCAGTCAGCATGCCCGGCTCATCGCGGCTGGTGCCAGATCGTAGAGGACAGTCCAACCTCATGGATGCAGGATCAGGTAGGAAACGTCAACAGTTGACTCTACTATACTTGAATCCCTTCTCTTCTGCTCTGTGATACAACTTTGGTTCTTCTTTTTCATTGTACACCTACCCGTTTCATTCAGATGTAGTTCATTCTACTCCATCTACTTCCCCAACGTCTCTCATTTTCTAAGGCTGTCAGTTCAATTGTGCTGTATTTTATAGTTGATAGCTGTTTTGATTGTAAATCAGCATGATACCTACTAAGGACATAGTATGGGGACTACTAACACTGTCCTGTCACACAATCTTTTAAATCAATATAATTTTATTAAACATTCTTGATAGTACCTACAGAAAGAACATTGGTACATGAAAACAAAAATCTATAAACATAAGTAAGATATTCATAAATTAGGGATTAGCGAGTACACCATTATCTGCTACTGTTCAGACAACTTGATATATCTGTATTTTTGTATTGGTACTCAGAATGGGCAAGGCTGAACACTAAGCCTAACTGGAAGTTGTTCATTTAAGTCTGAAATTGATATGGGTTGATCAGCAGTTGCTATAGTTATTTAAAAACTATTTACAGAACAGCCTCAGAATTGACCTTGAGTTTTTGAAAAAGTACATTATCAGTACCGATACTCTTCTGAGCCGAGGACTCTAACTAATGTTACTACAAGTACTTTTGCTGCTTTCTAACACCAGCACAATCCCATCCAAGTGGATAAGTACTCAGTCATGTACACTAGCTATTCAAAAGCTTTGTGACAGTACGTCCCCTAATGCAGAGTTGTCAATTTTGTGCTGAATCCTTGTTGTTTTCCTTCCTGTTGTTAAGTGCACCGTGCCCTTATTCTGTAATAAAATCTACTGGGATAGTTGGAATAGGCCTGTAAAGACTATCAGCCATTGGACAGGATTGATTTGGTTTCAAGTGATTTTGATGTCCCTCTACATGCCTCCTTTAATCTGGTTACAATGTTAGACTAATCCAATCACACACAAACGAGAGGATTTCCCCTTTAAAATATGTCTTTTACTCTCAAGGTATAATGCTGTTACATGGGTCTTGTGAGTGTGTGTGTGTGTGTGGATTATGCCTGGTATTCACTGCCAGTGCGGGCGAGGGAATCATCACTTATTGCGTGACATTATATCCTGTTGCCTTTTGTTTGATAGAAGAGATAGAGGAGCGACTGTGGCGTCTGTGGCGTCTGTGGCATTATCTGCTGTGTCTTGTGACAGAAACTTCACTCATCTGATCTGCCCTCGCACTGACAGATAGCCACCCCTAGCTTTTTTTTTTTACTCAGGTGTCGAGAAATATTTGCAGCTCGTGTCACAAAAAGGTGTGTCATACAAATAGTTTTACATATCTGATAGTGTTCTTCTCCACCTTTCTCAACACATACCATCTCACAATTGTAAACAGATAAAAGTAGATACAGTCTAACCTCATTTGTTTATCACGTTGATTCTTTTCGAGACTAATTTCTATTGTCCATCCACTCACAATATGAGGGCTATTACACAGCTTGATTGATTACATATGTGTCACAGTTTAATACATTTGGTCCACATACAGTAGGTATTTGAGAGTTTTGTTTTCCATGTCCTAATTTCTATTTCAGACACTGTTCTATGGAGTCCATAGTGTTATTCAAACCATAGACTTGTTTTAGTGTTTAATTGTAATCAGTTAATAAATATATAAAGCTACATGTACTGTATTAAAAATTTATTATTTAAAGGACCTCGTAGGATTTGACTAAACTATGGTAGCCGAAAAACTTGTGAAAGGCCCTGTCCAGACCCAGTGTTTAGTTTGTCCATGTGGGCTGCTGTAGAAACATGGCAGTTCAACATGGCAGACTCCGCCAGCACTACCTGGCGCCCCATGTACAAAGGCTGAGTCCTTGCTGCAGCAGCCATGGGTTAGTTTGACCCGTGGCCCTTTGTGCTCCCTCTCTTTCCCTTTTCTGTCTATCTTGAGTCCTATCAATTAAAGGCAAGACGCCCCCAAAAAAATATTAAAAAACAAAAAAGCATGGCGGACTACGTAGGAGAGGACCAACTCTCTGTGGATAAAACAGCTCATTCTAAGGGCCTATTTCAGATGATTATCACTACCTAAACTACCTATGAATATTATTATATTCTGCCATAATCCCACTAAATGTCTCACTGACTTATTGTAATCGTAAAATAATATGTAAAAAGTTTTTTTTTGTAAATAATGAAATTTGCTAATCTTGCCAGCTTGATTTGTAAACATATTTGAAGCCTTATTTAAGATCAAAAAGTCTTGGAGTAATAAGCCCGAGTGAACAAAGCCTTGCTGAAGTTGTTTTGTTGGAAAGGCTTTGTTGAATGATACAGAAGTAGAACAGTTGTGTGTAGTCCAGTGGGATAAAGTCTTCACTTGTTAAACTACAGCTCCCCCTGTGTCTAATCTTCGCTTCCTCTCTCCTCCACCTCTCTCCGTATCCTTCTGTCGGCCCACTATCTTCTGTCTCCAGCGAGTGTCCTCTGTATTTTCAGTTTCTTTACTGGCTCAGAGCTTAGAGAGAGGCGGGAGGACAGAGCCAGGCTGAGAGATGGAGGTGATGCTTATCAGTGTGTGTGCGTAGGGAGGCTTTAGTGTTGTGTCCTGCCAGTGCCATGGCGCCGCCTCTTATCACACACACATCACTTTTGTCTCACCCTCCGAAGAAAACGCCTGTGTGTGGCAGAACTTAGCAATAAGAGTTTAAAGGCCAATAGCAAAATGTTCTGGATTGAATTTGCAATAATTAATATATCTTTAAATTGGACCAGTTCCACAGTAAGATGAAGTATTTTCATGTATATTTTCAGTGTGGGGCAAGGCGATAAGTGATCAGTTGTTTAATTGAGATTGACACATTTCTGAGCATGTTGTAGCCCTTCAGATTGAATTGATAGTACATTATGAACATCATTTTTGGCTTGAAGCCACCAGAGACACTTTTTGTGCCAATATTTAGTACCTTCAGATTCTTGAAGTTTAGTGATTCCCCAAATATATCACATCAGATAGTTTTACATAGGGCTAGCTGATATAAACCTATGTCATGAAGTTATATTAGGCCTGGACTATGAAACAATAGCAATATGTATCGTCAATAGACACATAGCAATAATAAAATTGTTCAATAGAATAATGCCCTGGCTCGTATGAACAGCCTGTCATATTCCTTTATGTGAGTGAATCACCACAGCTGCTTCTTTCTTTGGAGTATGCATCATGTCGTCAGTCACAACCTACATCTGTTCCATCTCAAGAAATGATCTACAGGCGGTCAACGATGCAGAGCTCAGCAACAATACTGTACTGTACTGTATAACAAAACATTAACATTACTATCTGTGTGCCTTGATACATAAAGAGGTTAAATTTAACCTTTTTCTACCTGGTCCCTATTAAATATAGGCCATTAAAAATGATCAACAATTATCAATATCCACTGAAATGAAATGATGATATGAACATCAGATGTAATGCATTACAGTTGAACGCTGTTCATTGCATTACACATCAATTTGTGTATTTAGTATTTAATCTCTCTTACATATTAATCTCTCATACATATCAGGACATACAGTTTATCAATATTGGGAAGAAAAATCCTGTTCATATATTGATTTCTGCCATAGTGCACAACCCAAGTTTGACTCTTAAAACAACAGTAACGTTGACTAATTTTACAGTGACATTTCACCTGTTTTGCTTTGGCTGTAGATTTTTAACACATTATCTATATGTGACAACTCATGAACATACCCCAACCAAGATGTTTTTTCTGTCTAAACCTAACCAAGCCATAACCACCATGGTGTAATATCAGAAAACTGTTGTTTAATCTTAACTAATAAGCTGTTGACATTTTACTCAATAACCTATCTGTAGGTGGACTATCCAAATAAATTGTGCCATAGCCATAATATTAAAGGTGAAAACTGACCAAATCCGGCTTTTGGTAATTACCAAATTTTGGGCCGTACATATTGCCGTACACACTACATATCAGTCTGATTGTACATTTTATTCTTTCTCATGTGTAATATTATAGTCTGTGTACTGTACTGTCACATGAAATGCAGTTTGAAGTTGCACTAACTAGCCCAAAATGTATATATTTTCTGACATGAAAGCCTGTGTCCGACTCATGTTTTTTGTCAGAATAAAAGTGTTTCCTTCAGAGTCCTCATGCCCAGCGAGGCCATAAAGCTGCAGTCCTCCCCACAGTGACTCACTTATAGTCAGTCCGTCTCCCCAGTGTCTGTTCCCATCTTATCTCAGCCCATACACTCTGCTTATCTCTGCCTTCCCCGAGGTGATGGGACGCCATCTGCATGGGACACACACACACACACACACACGCACGCAGAGACACTGTATGTTGTACAGTGCTTCCAGTCATGGCTTCTTGACTCAGCATATCTGTCTCTACGGAGGGGACAGAGGAGCCCAGCACCAACACTGCTGTCTCTCTTTCTACCAGCCGCAATATACTGGATCAATGTGTAGCTGTTATCAATACCTCCGATCTGCACCCCAGGCCTTGCTGTGAGGTGTGTGTGCGTGTGTGTTGCGTGCGTGTGCGGTGTGCCGTGTGCGTGTGCGTGCGTGTGTGTGTGTGTGCGTTGTGTGTGGTGTTGTGTGGTGGGAGGCGGCTTCAATCCCAGCTAGACTACACAGTGGCATTTTGTGGCCCAGGAGGTCATATCAAGAAAGAAAGAAAAGGAGACAGACCTGAAAGAGAGATAAGACTGCAAGACTAAAAGAAAGAGTATTTAATCTTACCTCTGTGTGTGTGTGTGTTGTGTGTGTTGTGTGTGTGTGTGTGTGTGCGCGCATGTGTGTGTGTGCATGCTGATAAATCTCCCAGTCCTCCACACTGCTGTAGTTGTGTTTTGACTCTGCAAAGAAAGCCACCCTGCACCAAAACAGGAAATAACAACCATCCTCTCAGTCTGTAGCATCAGCCATTTTGTTGTTTTT